CACTTTTCAGCCTTCCTGCTGAAAGGAACGGCTCTTCCTCTTCTAGCCTCACCTTCAGTATGAAGTGTCCTTACTTTTCCTTTTTTTAAAATACCTTGAATCAGATACACTGCATATGCAAATAAATTGGATAGTTAACTACAGTCTTAAGTATCTTCCACAGACTGTTAAAAGAAAGTTAACATTTAAAATGTCAGCCGAATGATTTAAGTCCAGTGAAATTTTGAATGAAAACATTAAAAGTTAATCGACAGGAAAACTGATCACACGCTATCACTCAGGAAAAAATCCGTTCATAACATTGGACTTCATTTGATACTGCAAACACTAGTAAAAACATGTAAAATTTAAAAGCAATTATTTCTTTATGGATTACTCTGTAAATTAAACTGTACCTGGGGAGTCATTCAGGCTGAAGGCAATTCGTACTGGCTTATCAGCAGGTACCCTGGCGGTGGTGATCATGTGGGCACTTGAGTCAATGCTTTTACTTGTTTGTTCCAGCTGCAATAATATAAACAATATATTTATTACAGAGTACATGACACCATCCAACAAACGAATTAAAATGTTTTTCATGCATTCATAGCTGCCTTTCTCATTCTAGCTAAGCAACGTTCAGAATCAAAGTCAAGGGAGCGCCGTTTCATTTTTCATTTAAGTGAAATTCAGTACAGAGACTGCGCGTCTTCTGTTATTTACAGATTAGAAAGAACAATGGCAAAGGAAGCTTCCCCTCTCCTCACCTGCTTGCTCCCCGCCATTGCCCCTTCAGCAAGCCTTGACTCGTGGCAATGCTGCCTGGTTCTGAAGGTGAAGAAGGAAGAAGGGGTGGGGAATTGAGAGTAACACGACCCCAAGCCTGCCATGTGATTGGAAACGTGCACACCACTCCAGATGGTGTCAATGAGGAGGAACCCGACCTCCTACCTTCCGCCCATACTCCCCCAGTCAAGCTGTGCCTGATGGACACACACTTAATGGTCAGAAAGGTATTGGCTCTCCAAACCTTGGTGGTGATTCTTCAGTGGAACACTGTGCAGATGTCAGGGTCTGCCTGCATGGGTTTGACTCCCGGATCGGGACCTTATTCAGTCCTTGGTCTTTCTTCTGAGACCACCAGCTCCAAAAAGTGGTTTTAATGAGATGAAACCCTGTCCATTAAGAAAACTACTAATTCATTTCAAGCAGGGCACCATAGAGTCACTGAGCAACAAAAAATTGAGTTACTACTTATCTGTACTAGTAAAACTAAAGCATCTCCAAATACTCAAAGTTGTACTCATGGTTCTACTACATATATTTAACCTTTAGATGCATCGTTTTGGTAAAACTCTATTAAAAAGCTGAACGCAAAGTTATTCTCCTTGTATAGCTGGCAAAAAGCTGCTAAAATTCACAGATGTTAATCTTCTGATTAGCTCCATGCGTGCAGAACATGAAGTGAATGGGACTTGCAAAGGATCTGCCATAAATTATTTTAAGACTGAAAACTATGTTATCCAGAGTGCATTGTACCCATACCAACTATGTGGACAATTACGATAGCATTTAATTTACTGTAAAAACGCCTCAGTTAATTAGAAACCGAGTGCTTCAGGAAAATACAATGAATTCACTAAAAGCTGTACCACATATCAGTAGATAACATGGCATTTAGCTAGTGAAAACAAAAGCCTATTTCCTAAGCCAATATCGTGCAGGTTTTCAGTGAAGTGGTTATTGTATTGCACTGAAAACCCAACAACCCTTTCTAATTTACACTTAATTATCTGGCAATCTCAGAAAGTCAGTAGAACAGAACAATATTACAGTCTTCCGTGGTGAGGCACGAGTGAATCAAATTCTTCCCTGGCATCACTGCCTTGCAATCAGTGGAAGAGTACCAAACTTGCATTTGGCCCATTAATTTCAGCATTTCTTTTTTATTTGCTCTGTCTGTCTTGGTATCTAGGTAGCAGAGTGATACAGTTGCTCTGTAGCAATGCTACCTAACAATTCATTGGCATTAAATCTGATCAAGTAATTTGTTATTTAAAATGCTTAATCTTTTCTTAAAAGAAAAGAAAGTTCCAAAATTATTACTTTGAATAAACCTTATTTGAAGCTGAGAGTGTCTCCTACTACTGATACATGAAAGATCTCAGGGATAGTTCTTTATTCCCTATTACTAACAATCAAGGCAAACAAGAAACTGAACCCACTAATATTAATTGGGCAGAGGCAAAGATAGGTCAACTAAACTGCCACAGTGTATACTCGTGGTCTCAGGAAAAGAACTCTGGAGTCAACTGAAATAGTCTATTTGGAAGTGCATTGCATTACACTAAATAATTTTCACCTTCTAAAAGTTATTGATCTCTTTTTCCCAGACCCTCACTTTTTGAGAAACATCTGAGACATCTCACTGTTTTTTTAAAAAGAACAGAACAACTACTACTCCAAAATTATTTATCATAATTCCTTTCCATACTTCCCAATTTAAGGCAAAACAAACAAACAAAAAAAAAGATTTTAGGTGATGAACAAGGCTATACGACATCACTCTATGTTGGTGGCACACTTTCCCCTGACATCTATTTACTATCACCAGTGGTCTTCCACATAAGAAAATACTTCCCAATTCATATCCTAGCCTAAGAAATTAAAATGATACATTCAGCTAGAGGATTTAAAATTGCCATAGCAATACTGCTAGAGGTAAATCTGTTGTCTTATCCCAGTCACATACTATGTGGTCTTTGATATTTTTAAATCGCCTCTTCTAACCACCTGCTATGAGAAGGCAAAAATCAATATCCCATTCAGTAAGTAAGGGTGAATTCTGTCATAACACAAAAGAGCGTTTTCACTTTGTTCTAATTCACAAAAACGAAATCTCATCTCTATATACACCAATTACCCTGCTATCTGTTTTGTGGTATTACATTTATCCCTTCACTCAATTTTTCGGCAGAATCCTCGAGCTCTTTACCCCAGGAAGCAAGCAAACAGAACAAAAAGGGATGGCAACATTCTATGTGCAAATAAGGTGATGCAGGAAACATGCAGGCTGACTGCCCCCAGTTTCCCACCTACTTTCTCCGTGCGTGAAGAATACTATCTCTATAGACAGAGATGTGTGCAAGTGGGCAACCTAGCATTTAATGAGATTTAATGAGCAGCCCCCTTACTCATGACAATTGCCTACAGAACTGGCTGCTGTTTCTTCAGAAAAATCTGTAGCAGAACTCAAGATTAAGTGGTGCTATAGCTCTATCAATTTAGTTCCCTTTTCACACCTGTTGCCTTACCTCACTCAGTGGAGTGTCTGCACTTGTATAATCCAGGGCCAGTCACTGCCTTGGCTTGTCGTTGCCTTTATGGACTAAAGCTTCAATAAAAGAAAAGGCTGCACCTGCTGCATAGCAACAAGCTGACAAGGTCTGAGAAGCTGAGACAGCTGTCAGGGCAACATGCTGCTACCTGCACTTCCCATAGGCTTTGCTGTCCCAAAAGATCACCCTTTTCCGCTTTTCTCCACAATTCCGCTTTTCCTTCCTCTCCTTTCCAGTGGCGAGGGATTATGATGTTGTCATGCTTCAGGGAGGAAAAAATCCTTCTGTCACAGGCATTATTAAGCAGCAAACTGCAGTGAGCCCAAGATTTTTAATTCATTAGTCCTGGCAAACCTAAAATACAAACAGACTTGCTTCATAGGACAGGAATGTTTTCAGCATGACCCAATCAGTGTCTGTGTCTATTCCAGCAAACTGGCAAAGATAGCATGACTCCAGTCAGCAAAAATGTCTGCGGCTCCAATCAGCTTGGGGTGACATTGCCAACTTGGACTGGCTACAAGCAAACTATCAAATGATAGCAGCAGCTATCAAAGTTAACAACACGGGATGGGCTTCGTGTTTTAGGCTGGGTTCATATTGGCTTCGGTAAAGGGAGGCTTGTCTCATAACAGATGATAGACTTACAATATGAAAGGGACAACGAGCAAATTTCAGAATGCGTATGCTGTGAAAGCACATGTATTTATAGACGAACTGGCGATGATGAAGATAACTGAAGCTGGCTAAACCAGACGTTTGACTGAAGTTCAAAGGATTTACTGGTGTGATTTCTGACAGCATTTGTCAATTTTAAAACCACGGGCAAGTAATTAACAGATAAACCTTAAAAGATCACAACAGAAAAGCATTTCTCCAGCTTCAATTTTTATTTTCTGGAGCTGTATCAAACACATATCCTGCCTACATAAGCTTTTTTGATTGACTGCTATCACAGTGATTAAAACAAATGGAGGATAACGCAGACCAATTACAGAACAATTATATATAATCTAATTATATTTACTGTTCTGTGCTTGTTCTTTTATATTTTATATTTTAAAATTCCAAATAGAAAAGGTTGATCTAACAGAAATCTCCTGTATAGGCACATTGCTGGATTCTCTGGGTTCAGCTGAGAAATGCAGAGGCTGCAGGACAAATGGAGATGTGAAGGGTGTCTTAAATCCAATTTTCATCTTTCCTCACCTCCTCATCTCACCTCACTTTCTTAGCCCAGGATCGGTCCAATCAGCGCAAATCTCGGTAACCCAGGAGTTGCCCTTGTGGCCTCAAAGGACCTTTTTCAGGCTTTGCAATGACTGAACTGCAAAGGTATTCTACCTACACTTCCTTCCTCCAGTACTGACCCCGGAGGGTATCAGACAGCAGCTGCCTTACTTAGGCATCCAGTGAGGTCTTTTCTGTAACTGCACCGTGCTTCCAGGGCAGACTATAGGCTCTGGCCCAAAGAGGTAGTCAAAAGCAGCAGCAACATGCCCGACTACACTCACCATTTTCTTCTCTTAATGTGGTTCTGAAAAGACTGAGGATCCCTCCCTATATGTCTCCTTTGAAAGGGCAGGGAACGAGATTTGTCTTTGCTCACAACCATCCCTGCTATAACATTCTACAGCTCAATACCATCAGGATATCGATCTCCAGCTCCACGGGTAATTATTTTCAAAGTATTTATTTAAAGATGCAGACAATCCTGGCTCCGTTGAATTCAGTGAAAAATTCTCTGCTTCAGTTTCCGTGGAGCCAGGGTTTCCCCCAAATCATAAGATTCTCCTCTGCCTTGTGCGGACAGATGGTATTCATATGGTACGAGTGGCTTCATTACATGCCGTAAAATAAAGGAAAGCCTAAAAAAGAACCTCTACATAAAATGCTAAGTCTTGCAAAATCTTCAATAGCCATCACTGCAAGGGGGATGGTAGCTCATTGACCTAGCTCTTACATATGCAGCTCCTTTAAAATACTAAAAAATTGGGCTGAAATGATGGCTGAATAGCACAGGGGTCGTTTTTCTACAGGGCTCTGACACTCCACAGTTCCAGACTGACACCTCAGTTGCACTCAGTTTAAACAGTATCTGCATTTGCAAATTGAGTGCATAATCATTTTGTGTTCTGTGTCCACGCATACATACTTCTTAAATGTCAGTGCTTCTCGTTAAACCTCATACTGTTATATACACTTTGCAAAACAAGGTGGGATCACCCGTGCTTTCCTTAATACACACATTCCTCTTCTAGTGAGTATATTGCTTCTGAAGGCTGTGAATCATGTGCTAAGATACCAAAACTGCACAAACCAAAAAGCCCCTGATTTGTATTTAAATGTCAGTTCTGTGTTTTGCAAAATGATTAGTCACCCGGAACTACTACTGAGCAGAAGACAGCATATTTTAAAAATCTGAGCACATTATGGCACTCTGTATACGCAACATTAAATCTGAAACATCAGGATAAATGATCAAACTGTAACTATTTTATCATCTATTTATTACTGGGGTTATGCTTCTAAAAAACTCAACAACATGGATTTAAACGGGGCATTTAAAAAGTTTATCCCACTTCTCTTATTCACTTAAGGAGGCTGATTGAAATCAGTACATCTAAGAAAATTATCCTTTATTGCAGTACAATAAATATGTCTTATAACAGGCTACACACAGAGCTTACAGTAATCTCTGTGAAAATCACAGAGTGCTGATACCTCCTCCAGTTTTTTGTGCAGGAGCACAACCTACCCTGTTTTCTTGCCAGCATACTCTTAGTCATCAAACGCCTGGTACCCAAGCAGAATTCTTTCAATACTGTATCACATTATGAAACTGGTGAAAAGCTAGAAGAGCGACACACAGGACATCATGTTTTATTCCTCAAAACACCTTAAAGAAACATACCGTAAATCAGGAACACTGCAACTTATTGATATCCAGCATAAGAAACATGCAAACTGGTAAAAATTTTTAGGAGGAAGTATCAGTTATGCTACAGATGTAAAAAAGGCCGGTATCTGCTATCTAATAAAACACCTGTTGCCTTCCCTTTTTTTAGCTGTGCTACTTTCAATTCATTTCAATTTCCTAGTATAAGTAGTATTTTAGTAACATATGACCTCATTCACGCTAAAATGGTGTTTCAGAGATTGTCAGTCACTGTTTAAAAATAACGCTTACAATATTCTAGCATATGGAAGATGTCCCAAGGAGAATTTTTTAAAAAAACACTTTGCCTAAAAACTAACACGGAGTGAAATTTTCATTTTACAGCTCTGAGTAGAAACGAATGATATTTTGGGGAATTTCTGACAAACACGTTTCCCCAGCAAAATCTATTAAAAATCCCACTGTGGGAGGCATTTGTTTCCCTTGACTCTCATTGGGGCTGATAGGGTGAAGCTGCTCCATGCTGTATATAATCAGTTTTGAAGGCATAAACATTGTTGCGTCACCTCCCGTAATTCCACATTACCTGCTGAATTTCTGATTCTAATTTGATTGCAAAAGCTCAGAATTTGCTAAATATTAAAAGCTAGATGGTATATTCCAACATAAACGCCTTCACACCAGCCATTAAAATAAAAGCTCTTTGTTGATCTGATCTCTTCTTGCAGTCCACGAGAATAACCGTTTCAAGTCTGCACAGAACTGGGTAGAGGAGTGGTTTTTTTCTATGACAGCAGCTCTGTTTGGTGAGATCAGAACATCCAATACAACGTAATCAAGCATGACAGCCACAGTCTTGCCAGAGAGACATCCAGAATCAGCACGCATACTGCTCTCTCGTCTTCTGGGCAACAGAAAAGCATGTATCAAACATACATTACTTAAGTTTTGCGGTACTTCACTCACAACTGAGCATCCCAGGTCCTAAGAACTGGAGCCACCTACAGAGCACTTTAAATCATATGCTTTCCCCCAAGCTCATAAATGACTGAACACTTGACAGTGAATTCAATTTAATTAATTCATGAAATTAATTAATTAAAAATACCTTGGAACAGGCATGAAAATTTTTTTCACAGTCATATGAACAGTATCCATGAATGTGAGCACTGACTTGATGAGTCAAAAAATAGCACGTAAAAACCTTACAATTTATGACAAATTGATACAATGTCTGAATTCATTTATATAGGATCATGTACATCTAATGAAAAAAGCTTTTCCAGAGAAATTAAGAATTGGCTCGTTCAAGGTAATGTGCAATTACAAGACCTGACTCAGCAACTTTTATGCCTGTCCTATGACCATCTGGAAAAAAGAGTGCATCCTGAAGCATTTGAAAGCCTGACTGATGAAAAGCTTCATCTCTTCCACAGCACCCTTTAGAAATTGTGGGAAGCTAACGCTGCTGACAGGAATAAAACTGAAGCCTTTGAGATATGATGCTGCCAAAGATCCTTGCATATCTCTTGGGTGGAAAATAAGATGAAAGCTCAGTTTAGAAATATTATTGGGAAAGGCTCACTCTGTTGTCAGAAATCAACAGGTGCAAACCGATATACTTCACTTGCATCAGCATGGAGATGGAAATAACCTTCAGAAACTAATTTTGGGAAGAATGGTGGCAGGTCATCTCAACAGCGGATAGCCAGGGAGGATATGGATGGAGAGTATGCAGCAGTTTGCTACGAGGTCAGCCTCTGAAAGTTCAAAGCTAGCATTGGCTTGAGTAGACTTCTGGAAATACGAGCAGAATGTCACAAACGCTTAAAAACAAATAATTAGGTTTTGCTTACTGATTACATCCACTAATCCACATCCAATTGTCCTAGGGCAGGAAAATAATTCTGTTATATCCATGTGCAATTGGAGCAGTCACTCTGAACTGGATCTGCTCTTCCTTAAGGTAGTACTTAGCTTACCCTAAGAACTTACCTTAAAGGCATACTACAAGACATTACAGGCTCACTGGTCGAATAGCTGAGGTCAACACGCTCTTGTGGATAAATGCACAAGACTCTTGACCCACCATATTTTCACTGAGCTTTGCTACTCTCAGGAAGAAATCAGCATGCAGCAGAACCTGTGGTAAAATTCCCAGCAGCAGCTGGGATTCTGTCCATAGTTGGACACCCACTGCTGATTCAGCACTGAAACTGCCTCTGTTATAGTGCCAGCTGCAAACATGGAGGGAAAGTTTAGTAAAGATAAACGCTGGACTCTTTATTAGCAAAAAAATTGTCACCAGTAAACACAGCTGATAACAGTCCAGGAAGTCCTCACACCTTCTCTCTCTATATATATCTTCTTTCACCCAAAGAGATAAAATACAGTATTATAACTAGCAAGAACAGAGCAGGGCAGACAG